GTGTGTGTGTGTGTGTCCCTTCTTATCCATGTGTCCACTATTTCAGCCTTGTGTGAGAATGTAAGAGCTCTTGATCCTCATCAGCTGCTTCTCTCAGTCTGTCAGGTTGTCCCAGAGCATCAGCCAACAAGAAAAGAGCCAAGTTCCCTGGAGATGAGTATATCACTGCAAAGTTCAGAGCCAGTGATGGTAAGAAACCGTGATGTTTCCTCTCTGCTCAAAATTATGCCTGTGTTACATTTGTTTTTGCTCCTATACTTCCCAATGAGAGTTACATTTTATTTATATAGCACTAAAGCAAAACAACAGTTGCCCCAAGGTACTTTATATTGTAAAACCACTATTATAACAGAGAGAAAACCCCAACAATCAGATTACAATCAGATAGTTTAAATGCTGAGTGTAATCCAAATAACAGGCTACCAAAGCAGGACTATTAGGTGTCTTCACATTCATTTTGCTAATAGTGAATTTCTGATCTTGTTCAGTGCTGGACAATGATGAAGATATCAAGCAGCTCAATAAGGAAATCAACGAGCTGAATGAGTCCAACTCAGAGATGGAGGCCGACATGATAAACCTGCACACTCAGGTGAGTGCAGCTTTTCAGTCACTGCACAGCCAGCAGGACCCCATGTTCTATTCCAGATATTGCCATGTGACATTACACCCACATATGGTGTATTGGTCAGTCTTCCTACGCAGCTACCAACACTGGTAAAACATTCAACTCCATAACAACCAAGGAAACATCATAATTTATACAGTCCAAGTTCTTAAAAAGTTGAGCCACCGTGTAAAACATTAAAAAATTGTGAATCTCTGCAAATTTTACAGACCCGAACACAGAAAGCATATCAGATGTTTAAGCTGAGACATTTTACTATGTAAAGGCTGGAAAAGCAATTATTACTAAAAAAAAAAAAAAAAAAAGAACAGCTGCAGGAACATTTTGCACTTAATTTGAATAGTTGGCCACAGGTTGGTAGCATGACTGTGTGTAATCAGAGCATCTTAGAGACAGAGTGTCACCTTGTGCAAAAATCTGTTTTCAATTATGAAACAATTCCAGAATAATGTTCCTCTGTGTAAAATTGCAAATCTTTCAATATGTCATCTATATGTGAAAGACTCTTACCCACACAGCATTCTGTAACTGTTTGGTTAGTTTTTATTTAACGTTTCTGGCACACATAATGCTTTCCGTTCGCCCAGGTGTTACCACAGTACTGTGTCCGGAGCTCTGAACAAGCCGAACAGAAGTGTGATGAATTGGTACAAACTGTACGGAGTGGAGAATACTGTCTTTTCCTTGGATTCTGCAGACAAGGGAATCTGCCAGTACCCCTTGGTTAAATCCAGTGTCATGAAAAATAACACTGGCCTGCCTAAGCAGTCCAGGAGCTCGTCGACCCAGGACATGGGGTAGGCATCAAGCCATGACACTTTGTTCCCCTTGCAGTAATAGACACAGAACCGTATAGACCCATCTTTCTTCACAACCAGAACTATGGGCCTACAACAAGCACTGTGCAACTGTTCTGTCACTCCCATTTTCAGCATTTCAGCCAATTCTTTCTGAACAATTTGTCGCTTATGTTCAGGCAACCTGTAGGGCTGTAAATGCACCATCACGCCAGGCTGTGTTTCAAAATGGTGCTCTATGAGAGTCATACAGCTAGGCAGCAGGGAGAACAATCTGCAAAACACTGTTGCAATGCTGCAACATCCATTTTCTGGGACTATGTGAGATGGTTATCACAATGGAGGGAGGCGGGAATGGTGGAATTTGGTACCTCCAGCTCCAACTCATCTCTCTCTTCTACCAGGCTCACCAAAGAATCAGTTTCAGCCTCTCTTCACGCTTTAAGGAGGTTGAGGTGACAAGTTTGAGTGGCACCTCCCCTGTTCGACCGTATCACTTTATAGTCAATGTCCCCCACTCGCCGTGTGACCATGAAGGGTCCTTGCCACTTGGCGAGTAATTTCAAGCGAGAAGAAGGAAGCAAAACAAGCACTTTATCTCCAGGTGAAAATTTGCCAAAGTCTAGCCTGTCTGTTGTACTGGCACTGCTGCCGCTCCTGGGCCTGGTGCAAATTCTCTCAAAATGATCACGCCAAAGTATGCAGCTTTGCTCACAAGTCCAGGACATACTGAATGTCGTTTTTATAATAATAATAATAATAAAAATGGATTGGATTTTTAGCGGGACTCAGACCTTCCTCCCAGTTTTATTTGATTAGGTTGAGCAGCCCTGTAGCTTCCTGCAGAACAGTAACTCGAAGGGAGAAAATTCCATGGAGGCCTACAATCAACAGAGGGTCTAACCAGCGATCCCAACTATGTTCATTCTCATGAATGAACTTACAAATCATGGATTTTACAGACTGAAATGACCTAAAAAAGCAGCACCTGCACCACTCTCTTTGCAGTGCGCAGTGGCACTACTTCTGGGTATCACGTTGCATAAACCACTAGAACTAAGACAAAGTGATAACTGCATCCAGTGAAATGGCCAGATCCATGCCAACAAGCTCAAACGGGACCTCCATTTATGGCAGTGGACGCAAAGACACTCCTCTGTGCGAGTGTCACAACTCACTCAATAAAGACTTGACTCCTTACGAGGATGCTGTATGTCCCTCAGGGACCGGGGAGGGTGCCGGAGCCCCAGTGATGCGGAACACCTGTCACACCTCAGTCAGCAGACACTCCCACTTCAGGTGTCCTGGCTGCACTCACTCCCAGCACTCCTGTCCTGGCGCCCGTGCCATGGCTCAGAAACAGTGCCATTCACTTCAGGACTCTCGGGGACAGAAAAAAATTTTTTTTTCCCCCAGTACTCAGTGCCAGCTATGACGCCGTTTAAAATGCAGAAGGTTGCAGGGCCCTCCCATGGCTCGCTCATCCAATTATTTTCAACTCCTGTCACAAAGTCAAAGAAGAAGTGCAGACCACCCTAATTCATCACCTTGCTACCAAGTGATTTCTTACAGTATGTTTATCTGTTCTGTGCCAATCCTTGTCACAGTTTTTACTTGTATACTAATCCCACTATGCATTTTGATGTCTTTAAAGCATAATCAAGCAAACAAGCGACAGAATGCTTTGGAGACCTTAACTTTTATCAAAATACAGTTTTGCTAATGTCCACTACACTGCCAACCTTGAAATCTTGACAAGGCTTTGTTTGTTTGTTTTTAATGAATCCATGCAGAATTCACTTATATGACCGTTGGGAAAACAATGGAATGTCTTGCCTTATCAAGACCTTGTCAAGACTTTTTCCGAGAGGTACATTTACCAAAGCCTGCGTTGTTACTTCTGTCCTATTTTGGTTTATGAGTAATGTTGGTGAATGAGCTGAATACTACACTAGTTCACTCTGTTGTGTATATGGGTGTCCAGGTATTTGTATTCCTCCACCACATCACATTGGAGCATAGAGTGTGTTATACTTTTGTCACGATAATACACACTGTAGCCGATTTGTATCTACAGGTATCAGAAAGAAGCCACAACCAAGGTACGTGGATTATTTCTTTTTATAACTTCAGGACATTACAGGTCTGCTAGTTATGTGACATACAATGCTGTTATGTCACACCCTCTGGTATTAAGTTCTAAATTCATGTAAGACTTCCAGAGTACTCTGATAACACTGAGAAGGGCATCTCCAGTTTAATAGTAAATGTTACATGGACTGATTCTTACATAGCGCTTTACTCAAAGCGCTTTATACAACATGACACATTCACCCATTCACACCCATTTACACAAGCATGCTTACTAACTACCATTCACACACATTCTCGCTCCGATGAATGCAATTTTAATTAGAGCAACTTGGGGTTGATATCTTGCCCAAGGATATTTGGCGTGCAGAGTAAGGGGAGCCAGGGATCAAAACACCAACCTTCCGATCAGCAGATGGCCTGCTCTCCCTCCTGAGCTACAGCCACCCCATTTTCTGTTCTTTAAATTACTTATTGACATCATAGTTCAGAAAACGTCCAAACAAACACATGGCATCTCTAAATTCAAACTTTTTTGTTTAGTTAACATGTGAGTACATATATATATATACATAAAGGTCTAATTCCAAACTGCATATCAGGTTTTTACACATGCATGTTGAAAGGGCAAAAATATTCTTGAGGCGCTGTTAATAATATTATTAAAATTGAGGGTTATTATACAGTGGCATTACTTTAAATGGAGCAAAACTGTATTTTGATAAAAGTTAAGATCACCAGAGCATTCTGTCGTTTGTTTGCTTGATTATGCTTTAAAGACATCAAAATGCATAGTGGGATTAGTATACAAGTAAAAACTGTGACAAGGATTGGCACAGAACAGATAAACATAAGCAGTCACTTAGCAGGTGATGAATTTGTGTTGTCTGCACTACTTCTTCTTTGATTGGGTGACAGGAGTTGAAAATAATTGGATGAGAGAACCATGGGGAGGTCCTTGCATAATTTCAAGAAAACTGCATTTCAAACGCTGTCACAGCTCACACTGAGCACCAGAAAAATGTCTTTGAACACCGCTTTTCCCGGCACCCACAAAACAGGCATTCGCAAGAATGACTTCCAGACTCGCCGGTCTATGGCAGCGGACCCAGTTTCACTGTCTGTAAACACATTTCCATCCATTCAACCAACAAAGAAGCTATGAATATGCTGTGAATAACATATGGGTTTATGCCAGTCATTACATTCTGTTTTCATTTCTATTTTACAAGCATCCCAGTAGTTTTGGAATTGGGTTTGTAGTTGTCGAGCTGTTGGTGGTGCTACTTCAAGAATGTGTTGCATCCTTCTCTGCTTTAGATTTCTTCTATGGAGAAGAACCTGAAGAGCATGGAGGAGGAGAATAAACAGATAGAAGAAAGGAATGAGGCCTTGTTCCTGGAGCTATCTGGCCTTAGTCAGGCTTTGATCCGGAGCCTAGCCAACATCAGCCTGCCTACCATGGTAAGCATTACTGCTTTTTAAGAAAAGAGACCTGAGCATCTTCCTCATTTCAGCAGCTTTAAACATTTCACTTGAAATTCAACTTGGGTTCAACCCCTTGAAGACTGTAGTCTGAAAAGATTTATAGAGTAAGATCAAATAGCCTTTCTTTCATTTTTTCCAAATTAGCATTTTTACCCAAATCAAATGTTTGTCAGTAAGCAACCCTGTGCGATGAATGTTTTTTACAGCATAGCTTCATAGTACAACAGAACAGTCAGCCTAAAGCAGCTGATAACTTAAACCCCATGCAAGTGTCTCTCTCAAAGAAAACTAATGATAGCATACATTTAAGAGATAAAACATGTGAGTAGTATTGTGTACTAGCACTGTTTTGGGTGTTACACCTTTTTATTCTCTTGACGTGCGTGTCTTTAGCAGGAGCCAATATCAGAGCAGAACTTTGACAGCTATGTGGACACCCTGACCCACATGTTTACCAACAAAGACTGCTACCAGAACCCCGAGAACCGGGCTCTGCTAGAGTCCATCAATCAGGCAGTAAAGGGCATCGAGGTGTAAGAGAAACTGGAGGATGACAAGTGGCAGGGCATCACGGTGACGCCACCAATCTTTTTTTTCCAAACCCTTTAGATACTCTGTGTCATGAGTTTTTCTCATTGGAGTTTTGTCCTCTGTTCTTTGCATTTGTTTCCTGTTTGCATGTTGCTTTATAAAGGTGTGAGCGTGAACAGATGTGTGGATGTAAAGCGTGTCAAGGCACACTGAAAGCAAACTGTTGCCATAAGCAACGGCACCTCAAGGTATACACAGACAGGCACAGAGAGAACAGAACAAAGGAGTGCAGTATCCCGCCTGAGCTGAGCAGATTCTTAGTTAGTGAACATTTCCCATCTCCACTCAGTAATGTTGATAGTATTCTATATGAGCATAGTGATGTTGCACTTCCAGGACTAGTTTGTAGATTCATTGTTACTATTGCTGTGTATCTATTTAAGTCGACTGCAAATGTTGGTTTAATAACTTATTTATTCATGTCTGCGGTAATATTTTTATGTTGACTATTTATTATTCATTATTGATTTTATTTTATTTCAAAGTGCTACCTGAGAAGATTTTAACCGGAAACTAAGAGAAGGGAGTCATTTCCTCTGCACCGCTTAACAAAGAGGAAATATTTTAAGATATCAACTATGAATTGTTTTATATATCTTATTATTTATTTAAAACACTGGGATCTTTTTAAGTGCAAATATTTTGTAACAGAAAGTTTTTTAATAATTTTCTAAAAAATCTTTTGTGCTTCTGTTTATATGAGTTTTCTTTTTTCCACAAGCTATTTTGAGTACATTGCAATACACTGGGAAAATTGAGCTGCACATATTTCAGTATTTATCTGGTAATGATGAACAAAGTGATGGTGAATATTTATTTTGTACTGTCTATGTGTTAATGATGGCTGTGTATGGATTAGTCTTTATGTTTGCTCTTGAAATAAAGGTCAACCCAAAATGAATATGGACTGGACTGAGTGTATGCTTCCAGGTCTTTTAGCAGTAAAACAGTCTTTTACTGCTAAAACCTCTTAAAGGTTCTGGAAAACCACAATCAGTGTTAGAACTGACTGTGTGGTCAAGGTTTTGTGTAATTCTAGTATATGTCTGTGAAGGTTCTCAGTCATCCAAGTCATTGTACTCTAAGGAACTTTGAAAGAAAAGCGTCTGGACTTTTTACTTGCTTGAAGATGTTTCAGCTCTCATCCAAGAAGCTTCTTCAGTTCTAAGGTCAAATGGTGGAGTCTCAGATTTAAGCTCTATGGGAGTGTACCCCAAGAGGGACATGGACCCCCTATTGATCCTCTATAGCGAAGAACGCTCAGACCTCTACATTGGAGAGGCCAAACATCCATTTCATAAATGCATGACACAACATAGAAGAGCCACCTTGATGGGACAAGACTTGGCAGTCCATCTGCATCTAAAGGACAAAGGCCACTCTTTCAAGAATGCCAATGTTCATATTTTGGACAGAGAAAACAGGTGGTGTGAAAGAAGCCATCTATGTCCACTGTGAACAACCACCTTTGAAGAGGGGGCAGCTTACAACACAGTTTGCCATCTATCTCTCGTCTGATTAGGTAGAGGATCAATAAGGGGGTCCATGAGCCTCTTGGGGACACTCCCATAGGGCTTAAATCTGGGACTCTCCACCATTTGACCCTAGAACTGAAGAAGCTTCTTGGACGAGAGGTGAAACGTCTTCAAGCAACTTAAAAGTCCAGACACTTTTCTTTCCAAGCTCCTTGACTAATTCTAGTATACTTCCAATATTCTCTTGTATTCAGTTCAGTTTATTTTTATTCATACATTATCACTTCACAACAACCGTCACCTCAAGGTGCTTTATACTATATACAATATAAGAGAGATACCCCAACAATCGGAAAAACTTCCATGAGCAGCACTTTGTAACAATGGGAAGGAATAACTGTTTTCTGTTGTTGTTTTATTTGAACATGAACAGACTTTCTGCAGAACCAGACTCAAAGAGGGGCAGCCTGTCACTACTTTGGTGGGTTAAGAGAAAAACAAATGGAAAGAGATGCAAGACCAAAACACAAGGGGAGAGAGGAGACAAACATTAATGACGTGTGGCAGTGACATATATAACCATCAGGATTAAATAGAGGTGAAAGGAGAAGAAATGTTCAGCGCAACAAGGAAAGTCCACCACAGTGCCTGTGCATAACCAAGTGACTTTCAAAGTAGCGAGGGTTTCAGCCAAAACCAAACTGGGAGCCTGGTAGCTGAAGGTTCTGCCTCACATTCTACTTTTAGAAATTTGAGGAAGCAAGTGCTCTGTCGGGGTAATACAGTACTAAAAGGTCTTTAAGATATCAGGTTTCATCATATCCTACGAAAGAAGGACTTTAAATTTTATTCTAGATACAAAAACCTGACCCCATGCGATCACAAGCTAGTGGTCCCAATCCTCAGGTAAATTGCATCAGGAACACTATCTGGAATAAAATCCAAATCAAACATACAGTTCCATCTGATATAAATTTTATTTATATAGCACCAAATCACAACAACAGTTGCCTTGCGGTGCTTCATATTGTAAGATAGAGACCTTACAATAACAATACTAGAGAAAACAATCAAACGGCCCCCTGTAAGAAAGCACTTGTCAACAGTGCGATGAAAAAACTCCCCTTTAAACAGGAAAAAAACTTTTAGAGAACCAGGCTCAGGGAGGGGCAACCATTTGCTGTGACTGGTAGGGAGTGCAGGACGGAAGACAGGACAAAGACACACACTGAAAGAGAGCCAGAGATTAATAATAACTAATAATTCAATGCAGAGTGGTGTACAAAGACATGGTGAGTGAAGAAGAAACACTCAGTACATGATGGGAAACCCCAGCAGCCACAGCACAATTACGGGAGGATTCAGGGTCACCTACTGTAGCCTTAACTACATGCTATAGTCTGTTTCATTAGATATAATGCTTCCAGGTCTTTGACTTTGAAAGATGCCTTGAATAAGTGTCCAGGATTGTGTGGATAATGTGCATAGCAAAGAAAACATATGCACTGTTCTCTCATAACATTTCTAATAACACTACCTTAGGGGCCATGTACAGTGCAGAAAGTACATTATACAGATCCCAGCACAGAACGGTGTAGAAACCCATCACCAACTCTGGAGTATGAAGCAGACTCCTTGGTTATCCTTTAGCTACTGAAATGTGTGTATAGCTGTTTATACTGGTACAGTCTGACTGATTTATCAGTTTCTGTGCCTACAATTTATTTTAACGCGAAAAAAAAAAATACAAAAATGAATACAAATTCTGTCTCATATCACCAATCAGCTCTGACACTTCAAGGCACAGGGTCCCATTTCATGCTGGCAGCAGATCCTTAGGGTGCAGTTGGTTGCATCCGGTCTCTGGCTTGTTCCGGCATATCCTGTGGATACCCTGAAATCATTGTGTTCTTCCAGCCAGTCCTGTGCTGCTCCTGCCACGTGGCAGGTGCAGTATTTTAACACAGTCCCCATTGCTGGTAAAAACTCTGAAAGTTATCAAGGATTCAAATTTTAACAGCACATAACGTTCACTTTATTTGTTCTTGGTAATTAACTGTAACTACAAACTAGAACTCAACGGAATCATAAAATGAGTCAAAAAAACAAACTGGTGATACAATGTCATTTACTCATTTTAATGGTTAAAAAAATACTTCTTTGCGCAGAGACAACAGTAATTCCCCGTTAACTGACAAACGGGACCAAAAAAAATGATGGTCACCAAATGATAACAGGTGGAGCAAGATAAGATGAGGTAAATGTTTTTGAGGAGAAAAAAAAAGGCACAATTTACAATCAATCATGCCCCAATGCACAATAATAATAATGATAATAATAATAATAATTAATAATAATAATAATAATAATAACAACAACAATAACAACAATAATAATCAGTACAGCTCAAACAAAAACAGGAAATCTGCAACAATACAGACCAGTCATATTTTACAAGGCAAATGTTGACCATCTGGCTTCTCCTGTGTTCTCTACCATACTTAGGTTTCTGGCAACACTCTGAAAGCTGCGGCCCTGCTGCTCACACTATACAAACAGCAGTTCTACAGTGCACTGAAACTTCAGCATACTATCTGACCACCAGACATGACACACAGAGTTTGGAGGGCCCGATGCAATCATCATGGCAGAAGGCACCACAGCCTTGGCACATGATCATGGCTTTGAGGCGGCACGAGCACTTGAGTGCCACTTCCTCTGCCGTACTGTCAGTAAAGGCCTGAATGCTGAGGGTAGTCTGGCTGGGACCCAAGCGGGGGTGCAGCTGCAGCACACTGTCTGCCATGCTCCGGGAGAAACTGCTGTTGTCCATCACTGAAACATTGGCTGTGTAGCTTACCCCTCCAACTCCTCCACCCTGCTTGGGGAGCTTCCCATAAAGATGGAAGGGAAGGGAGGGAGCGGAGGGTGAGGGAGAACAGGAAGAAGAGGGAGAGCCAGAGGAGTAGGGAGCTTTGCTGTGATCTTTCTTTGCCATCCTGGCCAAAGTAAACTCCATGTTGATGAGTCCTTCTATTGCCCCGCCGCTTAGATAGCCATCGACAGAGTTCCCAGGTTCCTTTTTGGGTACACTGAGTGAGGATTTGGCAATAGCTTGACAAGAGGGTCGTGCACCAACTTCGTTCTTTACAGTAGGTGCAGGAGACGGGGGTTGTTGCAGAGAGTGAGGAAGCTGAGATTGTGGGGGACGCCAGTTAATCTTAATACAAGGTATCACCTCTGTTGGGCAGGGGTCTGCGTGAGGAGGAGAGGGTCCATTGCACATGGTCCGATGGGCTGACTGAGGCCTGTCTGGAGTGGCTCCCTGGGAAGGCTGCTGACCATGAGACTCTTTGATAACTGCAGACTCCACAGCAGACCCAGGCATGAGGTCTTGCTTACCTCTGGAGGACAATAAACCGCTGGAGGAGGGTGGCAGAGGGGTGATGACTGGAACAGCTCCAGGGGCCTGGGAGGACTGATACTGCGGTACAGCTGGGGCTTCCATCAGACAGGAAACTGGGCGGGATGTTGGGGACTTATGGATCTGGACTGGAGTAGTCAGCTCTGGGCTTGAAGATTTGGCTGAAACCTCAGGCCTGTTACGAGTCCCTGGGGTTCTTGCTGCTGGTGGCCTGGGCAGGGTTCCTGGTAATCTGCTAATCTCCAGTCTGTTGGCAGAGTGTAAGGGTAGAACTTTTTCCAGAGGCAGGCTGCCCTGAAGTAACTGAGTGACCAAAGGGTTGTTGGCCTCCACACTGGACACAAGTCTGACTGAACTGGCCAGTCTTTTGGAGGCAGATGCAGCATTTGAGTGAGTGGCAGGAGACTTTAAAGCTCCACGACACTCCTCTTCAGAGCTCAGTCTGGAGTCTCTACAGTCATCTCCAGACTCAGTTTTAACAACAGTTGTGTCCCTTAGCCCTTGTGGCAGGGGTGCAGACAGAGCATTAGAGTCTTGTGAATGGATACGGCTGTGTTGTGGCTGAGTCATGCTGCTGGGGAAGCAAGGCTGAATGACGGTCTGGCCGTGGCGGCTAGTCATGTGGGTCTGGATGACCAGTTGTTGTTTCTGAGGAGGGCTACAAATCACCAGCTGGCCATTTCTCTGAGTGTTCAATTGAGGACACCATTCGTGGCCAGGCTGCTGCTCTTCCTCCTGGCTTTCATTCTCACAGTCTGAAGCGGTTTCTGTTGAGTCGCTATATGTGCCAGCCTCATCTTTCTCAGCACTAGAGGAATCCACATGTTGGGGTGAAGATCCATCTGATCGCTGTCTCTCAGTGGCTGTACGGGAGAATGCCTCCTGGGGGTCAACATGGTGAGAACCATGCTGGATAACACTACCCAATCCAGCCTCCTTCCCTTGCTCCTGGTCCTTGGCATGACAAGAACTGGCCAGCGTCTGAATAACATCCACACCCTGAGCCCC